TTTTCTGGCCATCTGACCTGGGGAATGCTCACTGGCACAGTCAGCCTGAGCTGTTCGGTCTCAGCATCTCACTAGTTTCTTTCACTACCTCCCTACTTCTCACACCTTTCTTCCTAGTTGGCCAAAATAGCTTCAAATATTTCTTGCCATTTCATGGGGCAATTCAGTGTTCCCCAGTCCCAGATTGTAAATTCAGTGTGGGTCTCACTTTGGCAAATTAAAGCTACTCAGCAACTTGGGAGAACAAAAAGGGGCTTCAATTCAAGGTAGCTGTGATTGTGAATAGCGGTCATTTGCATCCTTCATTACACTACAGTCCTTTGCAAGATGCATGAACACAATGCTTAGTACCTTGCATTCCACGCGTGGTACTATATATGCTCCTGGGAAAATGTCTCCTAAATGCTTACGACCATTCACTGAATTCCCAAGGCATTTAGAATAAAACCCAAACTCTGACCCTATCTAAGAAGATGTTGTGTTCTTCCTGCTTCTCTAACCTCACTGCTTCTGGCTTCTCTCTTCCCTTATTTTCCATCCACAGGATAGTCCCTTGTTCACTTTTCTATCTCAGGACCTTTGCACTTGCTGGTCCCCAATCTTTTGGCTAACTCCCACTCAACCTTCCTGCTTTTAACTTCTCTCATGGCAATAGGTTGTAGCTTTGAGTTTGTCACAATAGGTGTACTTATCTGTTTGTGCTTTGTTTCTTTCATGGTACTGAACACCTCAGGAAGGCAGGTCATAGTCTTTTTTAAAATTTTTTGAAAGAGAGTACAAATTAGAATTAAAACAGAAAAAATTACAAGTGATACAGATTTTCACTTAACAAACTAATATGAGTTTCACAGTATTTGTTGTAATACGTAGCGTTGTTTTCCAACCAGTTATTCATATTACCAGACATATGCATGTAAAATTGGAAGAGAAAAAGAAATGTATGAGAAATTATTAAGAGAAGTACAAACAATTGAAAAAAGGAGACGAAACAAATTAAAGCATTAACTGCTTCTTCCCATAAACCAGCAGAAATGCACAGTACAGTTGTCCAAATGATCCTGCTTACATACATAGATAAATTTTATTTTTTTTCCCACTCCCTCTCCTGTGTTCCTCAACTCAGTGACTCTTTCCTTTTGAATAAATTCATTCCCTTTTCCCAGTGTCTACTGTACCCTTCAGATTCCAGTTTTCTCTTTCAGGTTCTCACACTAAGGAGACAATATGATATTTGCACATGGCTCCAGGAAGGCTCCAGGTCATAGTCTTGGTCGTGGTATTCGTGGGGTGAAGTCAGTGTCTGCCTGGCGCTCTGGAGAGCTGCTCAACCTGCTTGCTGAAGCTCACCTCTAGATGACCCCTCCGCCTCCCCGTAGTCCCCTGGCCTCCAAACTTGTCTCTGGACTCTGCCGCAAGGGCGTCTTTCGCAAGCGAACCTAGCCATTTCCAGCCCTGGTACTGAGACCCGCGCTCTGCCTCCCTCTAACACCCACTGCAGGGTCACAGCGCCACGCCCCCATCTCCCTCCCCACTTTCCGTAGCTTGTCCGGGATCCAGCACTACGACTCCCACAAGGCACTGCGAACTCTTCTAACCTGATTGGCCAAGCTTCTGGCGCCGACCAATAGGACGGGGTTTTGTTGTTTGTGCCGCGGCTGCCCGAGTCGGGGAGGTGCTGGCGGCGTCTGCCTGGTTGCTCTGGAGCCGGGTCGCGTGGTCGCCTGCCCGCCCGCCTAACTGCCTGTCTGCTTGTCTCTTGCAATGGGGAGTACCGAGAGCTGCGAGGGCCGCAGGGTGTCGTTCGGAATGGATGAGGAGGAGCGGGTCCGGGTGCTGCAGGGCATCCGGGTGAGCACCGCCTCAGGGGCCGCGTGGGCATGGAGGGCACCCGAGGGCGCAGGGGCCGCGGCCTGCGGGGTGGTGCGGGGCCCTGAGGGCGGCCCGCGGTGTCCGCTGTCGCGCCTCACTCGTGGAGCCCTTTCACCGTAGGAGGGGTCATGGGTCTCGCGTCCAAGAAGAGGTTACTTTGGGACTCGAACCGAAGGCTGGGGTGTACAAGCTTCATTACAGTGGTTTCAGGGGAATGGAAAACATGACAGGTGGGGAGGCAGCTAGGACAAGAGGGAACTTGAGGCCATTGCCCGCTCCGATTGGCTTTTTACATTTCTTGGGTGGTTCTTCATCCTCCCATCCTGACCCACCGCCCAAGAACGCGCGTGGTTATGTGTACACTAGATGCTTCCACTGTTGGTCGACTGCATCAACCTCTTACCTGAGGACTGTCCATTTCTACATCTGTCCGACCATCTCTTCTCCACAACGCAGCCGAAGATGCACTTTTAAGAATTGTAGATCAGATAATATACCCTTTTCCTTGCTTGAAACTCTCCAGTGGCTTCTTATCACATTAAGATGAGAAATTTACTTTGCTTTTACAAGGCTGACCTGATGCCTGCTGATTTTTTTGACCCTGCCCCCAGTCTTAAGGTCTTGTTTTTCCTGGGAGATGTGAGCTTGCCCCAAGTACTGGTCTCAGTGTTATCTGCACCTCCAGCCCAGTGCTTTCTTTATATCTGGCTTTTCATTGTCTTTGGAATAGTTTACTTGTTATCTAAGAATTCTTTATGTGTGTGTGTCTGTGTGTCTATGTGTGTGTAGGGTGTCACTGTGCAGCTTGGACTCGTGATCCTCCTGTTTTCAGTCTCCCTAGTGCTGGGATTACAGGTGTGCACCACCATGCCTGGAATCCATTGCCTGTTCAATGTGCCTGGAGGGCGGGTCTGGCACCTCATTTGGTGCCAGGGATCTAACCCTGACCCCTGCACTTGCCTAAGCAAGCACTTAGTTCTCTGAGCTATCTCGCTGGCCCTTATCATCCAAGAATTATTTTCTGAACACTGGTTGGAAAGTAGTTTTCCATCACTGCTATCATACATTTATTATTTTCATGGTACTTGTCACAGATTTGAAACTTATATTGATAATTGTATTTGGCTATTGTGTTGTCCCATTAGAGTGTAAACTCCTTCAGGCTGAGGTTCTTGTATGTTTCATGACTGTCCCTACCATTTAGAAGAATAATAAAAGCAGCTCATATTTCATTGTGTAGTTGCCACCATGTTTTGTGTTATGTGCTTTACAGGTATTTCATGTGATTTTCAATAGATTTATGAAAAATGGAATCCTGTTGGTTCATTTTGTGGATTAAAATGAACAGATGCTCCAGTGAAGTAATTTATCTAAGGTCACACAGGTAAACAGGTGGAGATCTGGGATAGCAGTAGGTCAACTCCAAGGCTGTTTGTTGAGCTACCATGCTATAGTTCTTTCCTACACTTATGGCGTAGTGGGTGCTTTGTCAATGATTGCTGAGATTAGGTGAATGAACCCTGAAAAATGGAACAAGTTTGAATCAGATGCACAGAGTTGGGTTGTAGGTGAATTATTTAGAGAGGTGGTGCAGAAACAGTCTTCAGGAGGTCTCACTTCAAAGGTT